TTTTATTGAATAAATTGAGATTCACATACACCTCATTATATAAAAATAGTTCCATGTGAATTGAAGATCTAAATATAAAAAATACTTTAAAAAGCTGCATCAGAATCTCTACAACCTCAGGATAGAAAAGACTTCCTTTAAAGAGAAAAAGCACAGGGGCGCCTGGGTGGCTCAGTGGGTTAAAGCCTCCGCCTTCGGCTCAGGTCATGATCCCAGGGTCCTGGGATAGAGCCCCGCATTGGGCTCTCTGCTCAGCAGGGGACCTGCTTCCCCCTCCCCACCCCCGCCTCTGCCTGCCTCTCTGCCTACTTGTGATCTCTGTCTGTCAAATAAATAAATAAAATCTTTAAAAAAAAAGAGAGAGATAAAGCACAATCATAAAATACATCTGACTAGGAGCACTTGGCTAGCTTGGTCAGTAGAGCATGCGACTCTTAGAGTCATGAGTTCAAGTACCCCCGGCTGTAAGAGACTACTTAAATCATTAAAAAATATATTTGACTTTAAAATTAAGAACGTTAAGTCCTAAAGACATTATATTTATTTATTTTTTAAGGTTTTATTTATTCATGAGCGAGAGAGGGAGAGAGAGAGGCAGAGGGAGAAGCAGGATTCAAGCTGAGCAGGGAGCCCAATATGGGACTCAATCCCAGGATCCTGGGATCATGACCTGAGCTGAAGGCAGATGCCACCCAGAAGCCCAAACACACCATATGTAAAATGGAAAGACAGTTACAGACTAGAAGATATTTGTAAAGGCTACCAAGCACTGTTATCCAGAATACATAAAAAGCATTTACAAATAAGTAAGATAAACAATCCCATTAAAGGAAAAACAACAAATAAGCAATTCACAGAAAAGGAACACGAATGCACCCCAAAATACAAGTGCTCTCAACTACAGGACTAACTGGGGCCATGCAAATGAAAATTCCAATGAGGTACCATCCTTCACATACTCCTCAGCATGGCAAACCATGAGAAGTCTAATAAAGTATTTGAAAGGTGGGAAAATGGATCCCCTCATCCATTACTGATAGAAACACTTGAGAGAAAACTGGTGGTTATCCAATAAAGTTAAAGCTGCTGCTCATACATACCCTTTGTTCTAGCACTCTTTAGATTTCCCAGGGAAATCTCAATGATGGCTCTTTAGTTGTTTAACAAGTGGGGGCACTACTGAACAGCTTCCAGGGACGCCAGGCACTCTTGGAGCATGCAAACAATAATGCTGCCCCGTGTCTCCTCTCAGGACTTTTCAATATTCTGCTGATTGCTCATTTAAGGGATTGAGAAGGGGGTGGGGGAAATAAGGTCAGATATTTATAAAGAGGACTTAACACAGAGTATATTTATATTGCTTTAATATAGATGATTTTAAAAAAGGCAACCACTATGTAAAGAAAGAAGACTGACATTTTTTGGTCCAAACTTTACTGAAAATAGTTTGTTATTTCAGAAATTCATTTATCAACAACAGTGCCACCATCAGTACTTGAACAGCCAATTCAACACACCTGTTTTAATTTGCATCAGTAGGGGTGCCTGGGGGTAGTTCAATCAATTTTTAAGCGCCTGCCTTTGGCTTAGGCCATGATCTCAGGGTACTGGGGCAGAGCCCCAAGTCTGGTTCACTGCTCAGAAGAAAGTCCGCTTCGCCCACTCCTGCACACCCCTCAACTCCTATGCATGCAGTCTCGAATGAATAAATGAAATCTAAACAAATAGCAATAATAATTTGCATCAGTAGTTTACCCTATTCATGGTGATACTAAACATTGGTATAAAAGTATCTGACTACTGTTTCTTCCAGCAGTGCTTTCTGGATTTTTATGTGCGCACACATCACCTGGGAGTCTTGTTAAAATTCAGCATGAGTCAGTAGGGTAGGTCCTGAGGTTCTGATTTCTAACAAGCTCCCAGAATTCTGCGTTTACTAGTCTACTATCACACTTCGTAGCAAGATTAGAGTGTGGTTTGGTATGAGCATCTACACAGTGAAATACATTACTCTATTACAAATTCTTACATTTTAGTAAGAGCATTACTTTAAAATATAATGTAAATTTATTTAAGTTTTAATTTCATTATAAATTTGTAAGTTCATTAAGTTTCAAATGAATGCAAGCTGATTATTTTGAATTTCATTTTAGGGCAGAATTGGAGAAGTTATAAAATATTTCTATAAAAATGGGATATAGTCTCAAGAACCCCTGCCCTAGAGGAAGTCTTGCACATGTACCTAAATAAACATATACAAGAATATTCCCCACAGTGTTTAATAAGCAATTGGAAAAAACTAAAATGATAAGAGAAATCTGATAGTCACATAATGGAACACATACCATTATCGCAGTAAAAATAAACTAGAATTACCCGAATAAACATAGATAAATCTAGAAAGCAGGCTACAAATACGTATTTAAATAGTCAAAATAATCGAAGAAAAACTATATAATGATCGAGGACATAAAGGCATGTAGTTAACTATAAACACATGGATAGGAAGGATGCATTCTAATTTCCGGTTAGTGGCTGGAGGGTGGAGGAAGAGGAAGTAGGATTTAAGAAGGGTTTTTGAAGTACAAAGGAAGCTTCATTTTGTTTTGTCTTTTTATCTCTCCAACTGAGTAATGGGTGCATGAATATTCATTATATTGTATGTTGCCAATACTCATATTGCTGTATTTCTATTTCATTTGAATTGGCAAAAACTGTTGGGTCCCAACAGCTGGTTGGAAAACACTGCTCCGAAGCAAAGGATTCAGGACTCTTAAGGACTCTTAAGTCAGAAAACCCAGATTCTGTTTCTTACAAATTATGTAGCTTTGAGCAATTCAAAGAACTAACTTCTCTGGGCTTTATTTTATCTGTAAAAATGTCACAAATAACATCATTTTTCCTCCCCAACTCACAAAGATAGGTATGAGAAGCAAAAATAGGGATATATATATATATATATATATATATGTGTATATATATATGTGTATATATATATATATATATATGTGTGTGTGTTTTTTAACAGATAGGAAAGGAAGAATTTTTGAGAATTAAAAAAAACCTTGGATATACTAGAATATCTACAAGTAAACCAAACAAGCCAATTCGTCACCCTATTTTCTCATCATCACTGATTCTAAGAATATTAACATGAATCTTAACATGAAAGAAATTCTGAGTTCTCAATTCTTAGAGGATGGCACATAGGATAGGCATTCTCCCTACTGTAACTGTATTTCTTTAGGCTAATTCTTCATCAAGGAATTGAAATTCATAATACCAAAATAAGAGAACTGCACTGAAAAGCACTCTTTTAACTTATCAAAAACATTAATCTGCCATGATGTTTTAAGATAATCTGGTCACAGGAAATAGAAATTCTTTGTCAGATATCATTTCATACATATTTCAAAATGGGCAAAGATACTCAAAGAAACAAGCCACTTACTAACTACAGTCCTGCACAGCAGGCGACAAAATTAAAACTGCCTAGCCTGCTAAAAACCTAATCCTATCCTTCCCAATTAACCTTATTACTAGTAGAGTAGGAGAAAAGAGAGGTCAAAATATGGGGGAGGGTGCTATTTATTTCCTCACAGACCTCAAATAATAAAGCAATTACTGCACAACAGGGATTTTATTTCTTTTGTAAACTGAATCATGGCTATCTCCCCTGTTCCTTAAGCTACCACCTTTACTCTCACAATAAAAATTAACCAAAGAGTTGGGCAGTCCCAAGTAAGAACACTGGTAATCACGATTATTAAAATATTGGTTATGATTAGATACTAGGTATGTTACACGAATGAGTTTATGCCATCAACATATGAAGAGACAAACTACGGAGAAAAGTTCATTTTTAAGTTTTCCTGTTCAAATGTAAACAGAGACACATCAGGCCGTTCCAAATGCTGACACAAGATCTCCAAAATTCTTTTCATTTATTGGAGTCTTAAAAAAAAAAAAAAATCAATGAATCACCTTGCGGATGAAGGATTATATGCATAGACATTACGAAATATAAACAGAAAACACCTTTCCATAAAGAGACAAAATTTAAAGATCACCCCTTTACTCCGTTATTTATCTTTTTGCTTATCAAGCCCACTTCACGTAAACTTGCATCGCCCCAAACCCCCCAAAACCTGTATTCTGGCATTGGCAGAATCTCCCCAAGGATCAAAGCTCTGAACTTTTTTTTTTTAAACAAAAAGCCGGGGTTAAACTCACTTTTCTTTGCGGCGGCGGCGGCGGCGGCGGGGGGGCGGGGGGAGAGCCCTCCACAACCTACCCTCAAACTCGACAGAACTTTCGTTTCAGAGTTCAAAAAAAAAAAAAAAATTCCAAACAGAACCTCTCCTTTTCCAGCTCAGAAGCAGTTACTGAGGAGCCCAATCTAGGGTTCGAAAACAGAGTTCGAAACTGGTTAAGATTCAAGCTGAGCCGCCCAGAGCAAAAGAACCCGAAGACGGCCCGCCGGGAACACAAATCGCCGAGAACGGGGCCGATTCGATCTCAGATCGAGGCTGGCACACACGAGGACGTTCAGGAGAAGCCTTTCGGGCATCGCCAGCCTCACGGGGAGCCAGGGAGCCGAATGTGACGCTGACCCCATCTTTCTGTCCGCGGGGAGCGGAGCAAAACAAGTGAACCGAGACCCTTCTCCGCAAGGAGGACCTATAAGACCTTTTTCCCAGGCCGGCTTTCCGTCTCTCTCCGGCGCCCAGACTCCCGCAGCCTCCCGGCTCGCAGGGACTCTCCTACCTCTCCCCTCCACCGAACCACCAGCGAAGCCTCTCAAAACCAGACCCGATCCGAAGCGGCTTCCCCGCCTTTGGCCGCGGCAGAGAGGGATCCCGGTCGCCAACAACAAAGACGCCTCCCGTTCCCCTCCCCCCGCCCGGCCCGGGTTCGTCCCTCCCGCGCTGCGGCTCCGGGCCTAGCGCCCCCTCCCAGAGCCCAGCCGCAGTGCCCGGCCCGCCGCGGCCCCCACGCACCTGCACCTGAGGGGCCGCGGCCAAGGTGTCGGGAAGAAAGGGCCGGGAGAGAGCCTCTGCCGACGCGCTGTCCTCCACAAGGTGCGACCCACGTTGCTGCCGCCGCCGCCACCGGACTCTCCCGGCCTGCGGGCGGGCGAAGCCGAGGAGCGGGGACGAGGGCTGCAGCCCCAGGCGCCGGGACGAGGAAGGACGGCGGCGCCCGAGGGGGCCGGCTCGCGCTCTGGAGTCTCGCCTCGCGCCGGCCCTGCTCCTCCACACGGGCTCGCGTTCTGCTGACTAACGGCCCCGGCGCGAGGCTCTGGAGCGGCCGTCGCCGTCGGCGGCTCTCGGGCCTCACGTCCCGCGCGGCCGTGGTCGCAGCCGCCGCCGCCGCCACCTCCCTTTCTGGCACTGCAGACACCAGCCAAACCCAGCCAGGTCTTTCTTCTCTTTAATCCTCCTTTCTTTGCTCCTCCTCAGCCTGCCACCGTGAGGCTAGCTTTGGTGGCGGGAGAAAGGCTGGAAGGGAACCGAGGGGACGAGCAGAAGGCTCGCTGAAGCAGGAGTTGGTCACTGACTGGAGGAAGATGCCAAGCTGACCCGGGTTCCAGCCTGCGAGCGGGCCGGGGGAGGGACGCAGCACAGCTTAGCCGGACTTCAACCAATCACAAGCCGCCCAGCGGAGTCGGGCGCCGGGAGAGGCTGAGCTGGGTCGGCAGGAGGCGGGGATTGCGGAAAAGGAGAGCCAATAAAGGCAAAGGTTCCTTGCCTCTCCGCTTTGATGGACTGCCACGTTCGGACCAATGGGGGAATTCTCGCTTCGCAGGAAGCGGGCTTTGGACGCCGGGCTTGAGAGAGGTTGCGCGGAGGGGGATGGGTCGAGACTGGGACGCGTGGAAGAACCTTGAGGGTTTTGACAGAGGAGAGGGAGTCTTTTGACCTCCTCGATGAGTCACGTGGGCTGATGGGGGCGGGGGCGGAAAGACTGGATAAGTTCCTTCCGGGTCAGTGACAGAAGCGTGGTCTCCGTGGGGCAGTTCCTGGCGTCTTCGTCTTCCCCGCGTCCTCCCTGTACCGGCGCGAGGGGATTGTGGTTTCCACGATGAGCTCCCAGAAAGGGAACGTGGCTCGTTCCAGGCCTCAGAGGTACCAGAATACCTTTAGCTTCAAAAATGACAAGTTTGATAAGAGTGTTCAGACCAAGGTAGGAACCTGCCTGTTGCACCAAATCTGACTCTAGGAAGGAATGGTTCGGTGAAGGGGAGAGAGGAAATGAGGAGCTGGGAGGGAGCGATTGTGGACCGCAGCCCAGAGTTAGTTTTGGCTGCAGTGCAACCTTTTCTAAAATGGTATTCCCACGCCCTTTCTTTGCCCTGGACGTGTTATCTCCTCATAAGTATATTTGGCGGTCAGCATTTAACCAATTACGCGGAGTGAACGGGACCCTCGTCAAACCTAAAATGCGAGTGGAGAATTGAGTCGCTGAACGGTTCCCGTCTGGAGCACTTATTAGCAGTAAGAAACGAGAATTACAGCACGAGTGTCAAAGTTTGCACCAAGTTTCTGCAGCCACTGTTTCTTTGTAGAAACTACAAGCCCAGAGGTTTGTAGGGAGAATGTGAAGGATGAAGAACTCTTAGCCCCAGGATCCTCACCAACATAATTCGTCTCTTTTGTAAGATTGTTTTAGGATCAAGTTATTTGGCTAACGTAAAGATGCTTGTTTTGTTGGTTAAAAAGTAATTTACTTTTTTAGGAGGGTTTCTGTGACCTGGAGGAAAATTCAGAGTTCTGTTGGGAGGCTAAACTAAATGACGTGTGCATTGTTCTGGGTCGTAATAAGTGTCCATTAGGTGATTAATTTATCAATATTGGGTAAGAAAGCAAAGTAAACTGTTTATGGTAATCTTCGATCTCCTTTTCTTTTTCTCTCTCTTTGCTTATTTACCTTTCAAATATTTGATGAGCACCCTCCATGTACAAAACCCCATGTTCCTGTGTTTGCAGTGTTAAAAAGAGTTGACTCTGCCTTCAAGGAGCTTATAGTCTTCTGGGTCATTGGACAACAGGCAAGCACAGAGATATATAATTACAGATTATGATAAACTCTAATGAAGTGCAAGATTACTCAGTAAGGAAGAGTAAGGAGGGATATCTTCAGTTGGGTGCTCAGAGGACCTCTCCTTTTCCTTATTTAGGTTCACATTCAGATGCAAAACCTGGGGAAGCTTTTGGGAGGACTTTCCCAAGCTTGTGCTCATTAATCCGTAAACCAATATAAAAAGCTGTGCTATTCCTAGTAGATGTTTTCTTGTCCTGTCCATTTGTTCTGAGCTTTTGCACAAGCATTTAATTCTGATTGGTTTTCATCAGCTCATTAAAAGCAGTTTTAATAAATATTTAGCTATAATGTAGCTTCCTCTACCTCTTACAGTTTTAAGTATAAGACTTCTTGACCTTGTACTTCTTGTATTTTTCATTGTTCATTTTCTTGGTTCCCTAACAACCATGTCATTACCCTCTTAAATCTTCTTATGAGTCCCAAATTCAGTCACTAAGTTTCATTTTATAACTTTTACCATCAATTTCTTTGCCTCTTTTAAATTGTGGGGAAGTCTCATTTGTCCATTGGTAGAATAAGCAGGTATTTTGTTATTGGAGAATCTGACCAAAACTTCAAGAAATGTTTTACTGAGGAAGATTAGGTTGATTGTTCATCTTTCTAATAAAGAAATAATAATTGGCTTTTCTTAGCAAATCCTTGAACCAGCTGTGTGCCAGGATTTTGTCAGAAACATCTAATCCGTCTTCATTCCTGTGTGTTATACCAGAAAGCTGTTTGATTCAGTGCCATCCGACAAAGGAGTGGTGAGAGTGCATGGTTCTCTAGCTCTCCTTAAAGGACTATAGTGATGACAATTTCCTATTTATATCTCATGAGTTTGTAGGAGTCCTGCATGATAGTTTCCCTTTTTTCCTAACCAGTTGGGTAATGATAGATGTTTTATTGGGAAGTTTGTCTAAGTAAAGCACCCATTCTCAAAAGGACACGGCTGATAGCTGTCTTCATATGTTGAATATATTCCAGAAGAAGAGCGAAGCCTATTCTGTAGCTTTCCAGATGGCCAAATTTGAACCAAAAGGTTAAAGTTACAGAGAGATTTCAGCTGAATATAAGAGAGTTGTCCAATAGAAGCATGCACTAGGATTTTGTAAACTCTCTTTCACTCGGGTTACTTAGAAGAGGACTCGGTGGCCATTGGCCTGCAGTGTCCTCTAATGACTTGTTGAGATGGGAATAGGTTTAACCTCTTCTAGTCGTTTAGCATTAAAATGTTAATTGTATCAAGACTGCCTTATGTCCCTTTCTGGAAAGGCAGTGATGTGTAATGAAAAGAACATTGGACTAAGAAAAAGATCAACTAATTTTAGCGTCAGTTCCGTTGTTTCTTTTGCTCTATGGTGTTAGGCAATTTACCTCTAGCTTTTAATACGGGGTTGTTACTATCTGTTATCTTTCTTACCTCTCAAGATTGCTATAGGGATCATTACAAAAATATCTTTGACAAATAGTGATACAAATATGAACTGAGCCTAAAGCATATGGTAATTTATGTAGACTTGCAGTTGCTCAAAGCAATTAATTAAAAATAAATGTATACTTCTTGGAGAATATTGAAAATAGAGAAATGTATAAAGTCCAAAATTCAAAGTACCTTTTCCCAGTCCTATTCCTCTTCAAATATAGTCACTATTAAATTTTTTTTTTGTTTTTTTTTGTTAACATGCTCGCTTCCGCAGTACATATACTAAAATTGGAACAATTTTTTTTTGTTAACAACTTGTGTATGTTTTTAGGTGTCTTTGCACAATATAGTATATATGTAATAGAGTACATTTTTTTCTTTCTCATTCAGTTAAAGTAGGTATGTCAGAATACAAAGATTAAGTTATTCTTTTTTAATGGCTGTCTAATATAAATGTAGAGTACCTTACTTTCCTGGTAGTAATACTTAGATTGTTTTCAGTTTTCCACTATAGCAAAGCTGCAGTAAAATTCGTGGATTCACATATTTGTTCCACATCTATTACCTGGCACCAAACATTGTGCTAGATGCTAGAGGTATAGAGTTGAGCATAATATAATTTGGTGGGTGAGATGAAAGTAGTAATCAAATAATTTTTCAGGTTCGTTAATAGGAATCCCTGTAAGGGTGATGAAGGAAGAGTCTAAGGAAAGCTGAGGGTATCAAGCAGGACTTTTTTTTTTTTTTTTAAGATTTTTAATTTCTTTCATTTGAGAGAGAGAGAGAAAGCACAAGCAGAGGGAGCAGCAGGCAGAGAGAGAGGGAGAAGCAGACTTCCTGCTGAGCAGGGAGCCTGATGTGATGTGGGGCTCAATCGCAGGATCCTGAGATCATGAACTGAGCTGAAGGCAGAGGTTCAACCGGCTGAGCTACCCAGGTACCCCTAGCAGAAAGTCTTGATTGAGTTTAAAGGCTTAAAGAAGGCTTCCCTGAGATTTAAGGAATAGAGAGCATTTAACTAAATGAGATGGGAAGATCACATCTTCTCGATAAAGCAGGAGTCAGTTTCATGATTCAGTTACTTTGGAAATAGTACATTCTGGGTCTTGATGTAGGGTTCATAGTGTGCTTTGGCACAGTGGCTACAACACTGAGCAGTTTCGCAGTTTAAAAAAAGTTATTTAGCCAAAATTTGCTTGATTATGGAACCCTTTGGTTTACATAATGCCTACTGAATTTGAACTAATTTTTGGAGGAATGCACTCATTTGGGGAAACTCTGGTGTTTATCTTCAAATGGAAAAAGAAAATGAAAATCTGAGGCTATACTCTCTAAATTGTTTTGGAGGGGCGCCTGGGTGGCTCAGTGGGTTAAAGCCTCTGCCTTCGGCTCAGGTCATGATCCCAGGGTCCTGGGATCGAGCCCCGCATCGGGCTCTGCTTAGCGGGGAGCCTGCTTCCCCCTCTATCTCTGCTTGCCTCTCTGCCTACTTGTGATCTCTGTCTGTCAAATAAATAAATAAAATCTTAAAAATAAATAAATAAATAAATAAATAAATAGTTTTGGAAGTAAAGTTTTGTTATCAAAAACAGACATATGGATCAGTGGAACACTAAATAGAGTGCCCAAAAATAGATCCTCAACTCTGTGGTCAACTAATCTTTGACAAAGCAGGAAAGAATGTCCAATGGAAAAAAGACAGTCTCTTCAACAAATGGTGTTGGGAAAATTGGACAGCCACATGCAGAAGAATGAAATTGGACCATTTCCTTACACCACACACAAATATAGCCTCCAAACTGATGAAAGACCTCAATGTGAGAAAGGAATCCATCAGAATCCTTGAGGAGAACACAGGCAGCAACCTCTTGGACCTCAGTCACAGCAACTTCTTCCTAGAACCATTGCCAAAGGCAAGGGAAACAAGGGCAAAAATGAACAATTGGGACTTCATCAAGATCAAAACTTTTTGCACAGCAAAGGAAACAACAAAACCAAAAGACAACTGACAGAATGGGAGAAGATATTTGCAAATGACATATCAGATAAAGGGCTAGTATCCAAAATCTATAAAAAACTTATCAAACTTAACACCCAAA